CTCAAGTGCCCTTTTGAGATGTGCTGTGACTGATCATGTTCCACTGAGCAGTGCCCAGTCTTTGTACGTACCATTTATTTGAGTGATGCAAAGAATTGGGGAATACGCTTTGGTTTTGTACTAGCTGGGTAAACCACCTAAGTGTGTGTGTTTCAGGTCTTTGGTCCTGTGTGTTGTGTAGATTAGAAACAACAGTGACTTTTAGGTCACATTTCAAGTCAGTAATGATCTTCTGCTAGTATATTCAGCAGCTGAAGGTTTTGGTTTTTTTTTTTTTGTTTTTGTTTTTTTTTTCTTTAGAAGAGACTGTCCTAAAAATGTTTTTCCCTCAACAGAAACTCACAATTCACTTATTTCAGATTAGTTGCCCCCTCCTTTTGCTTAAATTGAGAAGGAAGGAAGGTTTTGGGAAAGTAAAATCCCCTTAATTGTCCAGAAATAGAAGAAAAATGATATGCCAAAGATAAATTATAAGAGGTGTCTGTTTCTGCGAAGAACAATTTGTGCTTTGGTTCTGTTGAAAAATAAGAAAATTATTTTTTCTGAATAATCTATTTGTGGAATTCTGTGAAGGTTTTTTTTTTTTTTTATAAGACTGACCTCAGAGTTGGTACAACATCCCAACTTTTTGGAGACTTGTATGTAACACAAGATGTTATATATTGTTTATATATCATGAAAAATATAATATCCTCTTCACATCTTTTGTTTGCTGTTAATGCCAGGGAAATAAATAATGGCAAATATGAGGCCTGTCAGATAACTTATTTTGTGTGTGTGTGTGTGTGTGTGTGTGTGTGTGAGAGAGAGAGAGAGAAAAGGGGAAGAATATGCACAGAGAAGGGAAAGATGTAATATAGGATAGCATACAGAATTGTTAACCATAAGGGTTTTGTGTGTGTTTTTTTTTTTCTTTTTTTTGGGGGGGGGTTTGTTTGTTTGTTTTTGTTGGCTTCTGTTTTTGGTTTTGGGAAAAAATAAAATAAGGATCTAAGAACCCTGAGCCATCAATATATGTGACTAAGGTAGGAGGTTGTCCAGCTTGCAGTGGCTATCTGCTTTGCCAGTGAGACATGAAGAGTTGTGAAACTGAGATCTTGAAAGGAACATGTGAGACCATGAATGCGTGGGCAATAAGCAATGTGTATGTTTTTTGTTTTGCATTGAGCCATTGTTTCTTTCCTTTTGGCAAATCTACTCTGTTTTGAAGAATATATTTGGATTCACTTTGATGCTATCACAAACCTTGGACTAAAGAACTTGCATTAACTTGTGCTTTGTCTGCCTGACTCCAATGTGGGAAAAGGGATGCGAAGGCCAGAAGTCAATATGACAGTGGATTCCATGGCTTCAGAGGCAAAAGAATCTGGAATTTACACTTGAGTTAAAAAATAGTCTGATTTATAATCTGGTATGAAACAGTGAAACACTGTAGATATTAAACCTTTCAAATAGTATGTGTATCGTTACAAATTCTTATTTATCCCTCTTGCGTGAGAACCTAGAGTATTTATTTGCAAATTGCAAGGCAGTTCTTTGTATGTTCAGATCATATGCCCTAAGGCATTATGAAGATTCATATGCTTAAAAAAGAAGATGGAGCCATGTCTTTAAGTACAGTTCAACCTTTGTTATGGAGCTACAGATGGCACTTCTCTAGTATATATATATTTTTATCTTTAAAAGGAAACTTTTTAATGAAAGTTTAAAGACCTTTCTTTAAATGATAATTTGCCAAAACAGTTTTCATATATGACTGTCTAGTAATTCTGTGTATTTTGTAGAGATCAGAAAGTATGAAGAGTTTAATATTTCAAATACTTTAGTTCTAGTTCTTCCTTTTAAGCACTAAAGTATGTATGTTCTGGTGTTTTATACAGTAGGAAAGACTTTTTTAGAGAGTGAGTTTTGAATCATCCTTGATATAATTTAGATCTCTGAATATTATTCTTTACCGAACCAAGACTATTTATGTTTTGCAATCTAAGAAATACTTGGTATTTATCTTCTGGTAAGTTCTACTTCAATTTTGATTATGATGGAGAGTGACTATTTGTGTTTTTCCAAGTTTAGAAATCTAATGAACTCGAATAAAAAAAAATGTGCAGATAAGTGTGCTACTGTTAGCAGGCATGGCATACTGTGAGCTCTAGTTACTTCAGTGATATTCTATGAAATATGTAATATAAATGAGGACTAGCAGTCATAGTTTTTATTGCCACTGTGTTGTCGAACCCTCTCCTAATGAACTCTAAACACAAAGATAGTTTAAAAGCTCATCTTGGATTCCACTAAGCAGTTAAGAGCCTTACTTGTCACTTTAAATGCATTTTTAGGATCTTAAATTTAGGAAACCGTTCAGAAAACATTTGCCAGAGTTGCTTAAACACATGAGACAGCTTGGGAGTCTGAGACTGTGATTTGCAGCTGTATTCTTGACGTAAAAATTTCTTTTAGGTTCCCTTCCACACTTGGCAGCATTTATTGATATCTTCTGGTAAACATTAAGCTCTGGGTTAATTATTCTTTTTTTGAATCATTATACAACCGTAAAGATGACATGCAAGCTCAGTTAAGATCTCTCTGCCCTAACTTAGCCTGTAGATAGGCAGATGGCCTGGCTTATACAAAACTTGAATTACACGCTGTCCTTCTGTTTATTTTTGTGTTTTGTTTTGTGATCTCGCATGACTGTTTCCTTTCCCCCTTTTGTGTTGATATCTGTAAACGTTTTATGTTTGGACAATTGGCCATAAAAGCTTATGTTAAGGAGGATCATTCTCAAGAAAGTTATTGAGCTTTCCTGGTTCACGTTTGCAGAAGCAAATACATAAACCGCTTCAACCAAAATTTAAATTGTCGTTTGCTCTTCCTTTGCTGATAAATTAATGTACATTCTTTTCTTTTTAACTCTGTGTCAAGAGGGAGAATGTCATTGAAGTAAGTATATTTTTTGAAGTGTTACTTATTTCTGCTGACAGAGAGGGAGGGCCACAGCTGATTCATACCTTGCCCTTTGATGTAATTTCTGATTCAAAAAGGTATGCAAAGTCTTTAGACATCTGTTATTTTGATTTGCCTGTTTCAACCTTTTCTTCAGCAGTAGATTATCTGGAACAACTTTATTCATTAGTGTATAATTCAGCTACTTTTTGCGGGGGCTGTTGCTGCACATTTAGCTGGTCGTTTACTTATAGTAATGATTTACTCACAATAATGACAAACTTAATAGCAAAATCACCTTTGCAATAGTAAAGGGACTGATTAATGCAAATAGTTCTTAGTAGGCAGTGTTTCCAGCTCTGACTAGTGTGAGTCTGGATTGTTAGTCTCAAACTTTTTTTTTTTTTTTTCTCTTTCAGCGTCAGATGTACAAATGAAAACTTCAGCAAGATATAGTTTTTTGTAGCTTTGGTCTCTGTTGGTGATGGCAGTGATTGTTATCTGTCTCTTTTTTCCCCATAGTATTTCGTAGTTCTGAATTTCCGCATGTTTTATTAAGCTTAGCCAATAATTAGATCTTTGCCTTTTTTGACTGTGTGAACTTTTGGTCTCCAACCTTCCAGGATGGGCTCATCAGTTCCATGAGTTCTTGAGCTTTTTTTTCTGGTCAAGTGGCATTCTCTTTAAGCACCTAATGGTACAGAGCACAAGCAGTTGTTACCTTAATTGTGACTCTAGAGTTCAGAGTAACATGCATGATACCTGTCTTCAGTACTGTGAGTTCAGAATTGGGTGCATTTTTGCCATGACTAAAGAAGTGCATCACTTAGATGAGTGGAACTGAGCCATTATCTGAAGTAATAGATAGGAAAAAGAATGACATTGGCACCAGGCATCAGATACTTAATAGTTTGAAATGCTGCAGACTTTCTTCTTTCCCTTTTCCTTGTTTTCCGTCATCGTTTTGCTTGAAAGACTCGGAGGTTCGTTGCTGTGCTCAGAGAAATAGCAGCGCTGGTGGTCTAGTGTTCCTGAGAGCAGGGAAGACAAGTCACAGCTCTCGCGCGGAGCTTGCCTTCAGTTGAAGGCTGTTGGAATGAACTGAGCAGATGAAGATTTAGTTTCATTTTTCTGCTTTAAAACCTATATGCCATGGAGTTGAGAACCTGAAAGCACATCACATTTTTAAAACCACCACTGCTAAAATAATATTTATAAATATAATAAATTTTCTTAATTAAGTTTCTTAACTCCTACTAGATCTTCTCAAATTTAAAGGTATTCCAGGTGACAGTCAGCTTCTATGTTGCTTGGAGCCTCTGCATCAAGTAGAAGGACTTGGCCCTGGTCCCCAGAGTTAAATAGGCTGCCATTTTCCTGGGGAACTGAAAACAGCAGTGTGGATCATCATGGAGCGCTGTCCCTGCATGTGGATGTTTGTCTCCACAGTGGGAATATTTCTAGACATTTGCTTTCTTGCTGCCTTTGGAGGTGACTTTTGGGTCCCGTACCATTTTCACTCGTTTTTATGAATGGCTGTGATATCTTGCCCTTCCCTCTGTTTTTGCTTCTGGACTGAACCATTATATCTTCCTGTCTCTCTCATCTGCATGCTGTCCTTCCGACAATGTTGGTCTGGTGCTCGTCGCTGTGAACTAGAGTGGAAAATCTGCATATAGAAACTTTCCTAATTGTTCATCTATCTTTACCTAACTTGAAAGGTGCTGTCAGCTTTTGCTTGGGTTTTTTTGTTTGTTTGTTGGCTTTGTTTTTTTCCTCCCTCCCATTATGTTCCATTATCCTGGATACTGCCACGTTATGCGTAGCTTCAAATCACATGTGGATAAACTCTTGTCCTCTTGGTTTGGGCAGTAGTTTCTTCCTTGAAGCTTCCTTTCCTTTGTGCCTTGCAATGCATCAATGCACTTAAGCAGACACTGCATGGAGAAGTAAAAGTTTTCTATTGCCATAGTGGCTTTTCTCATGCACATTCTTGAACTGAGAGTTAAGCCAAAGCCACTGTTTCTGAACGGCATCTTTGTATACACTGTAGCATTATGGAGCAACTGGTAGAAATAGCCTACTGTATGGTTGTGGTTTCTGCTGTATGTGCAACATATGTTGTCTTCATGCAGGTTGCACAGGTACTTGCCGAGTGGGTCTCTGATAGCAGCTTTAGCATACTGATAGTTAAGGATGGGAGGGCCTTTCCTAGAGTTACTAGTTCTAACTGATCTGTCAGCAGCAGTCGTCCTGTGGTAGTCTCTCAAAGTCTGTCAAACAAACACTTTGGAGCAGTTGTCTCGTAACTGTGCAAATTTCTGCTTGTGGGAAGTCCCTACAGCAGTGGTCATTTGGACTCTTTGAGGTCACTGGTGAGTATAGATACAGATCTTTGGGGTTATGCACTCTTCAAAGGTCAAGAAAATGTTAGTATAGCAACCTTAGTTCTGGGGAAAATACCTCTCATCTTTGTTAGAGTGTCAAAAACTGCTGCATTCAGTTTTAGTGGAGGAAGACCAAAAAGTGCAGTGATATGGGAAAGAGGGTGGG